CTACTCTTGTATATCCAGGGCCTGATATACACTAAGGTGCTCAAAAAAAAAAAAAGGGGGGGGGGTTGACTAAATGAGATGATGCCATTTTTATAAAATAATGACCAAAAAATATTCTTTATGCACTTGGATACATATAAAAGTAAACATTTCCATTTATGTAAATTATACACATGTATACACACATATATATGTATGCATCCATGTATATGTGTAAGTATATATGTGTATAAATACGTTAATGCAAGGAGAAAAGTTATAGCTACAGACATGTATCATGCTCCATGATAAACTATGAAGTGCATTAAGAATATGGTTTCCAGGGGCGCCTGGGTGGCTTAGTCGGTTAAGCGTCCGACTTTCGCTTGGGTCATGATCTCGTGATTCGTGGGTTCGGGCCCTGCGTTGGGCTCTGTGCTGACTGCCAGCTCAGAGCCTGGAGCCTGTTTCAGTCTGTGACTCCCTCTCTCTCTGACCCTCCCCTGCTCACGCTGTCTCTCTCTCTCTCTCTCTCCCGAAATAAATAAAACATTAAAAAAAAAAAAAAAAAAGAATATGGTTTCTGAAGACAGTCCACTTGGTTTCAATCTGTAGTTTTCTACCTTACTAGGTTTGCTTATTAACCTTTTTGTGCCTGAGTTTGCCTGTTAGGCAGAGCTAACAGTACCTATCTCACAAGCGTGTTGTGAGGATTAAACGTTTTAGAAGAGGGCCTAGAATAAAGTGCTGTGGAAATTTTACTATTATGCTTAAGGAATAAAATAATTGCAAAACAATTTGAACAATATTATTGGATATTCTAGGGCAGCCCTTCTCAACCTTGTTGCCACTGATATTTTGCAATGTCAGAGAACTTTTTGTTGTGGACACTGTCCTATGTATAGTAGGATGTTTTTAACAGTATCTCTGGCCTACATCCACTAGATTTCATAGCATCCCCAGGCCTGGTTGTGATAAACATCACCTTCAGTTGAGAACAACCGCTTTAGTGGGATGGACATGGACACAGGAGGGTGTTTGGTTTTTTTCTTTTATACATGTTAAAGTTACACTTGGAAAAGCATGTACTACATTTGCGATTTTAAAACCAAATAAAAATTTTTAAAAAAGGAAAATATTAATAATCACTAAGAGAAGACTACAATCAAAGGTTGCTAAACCAGCAGAATAAAAGACAGAAAATGCAATCAACACGAAAGATGTGAGAAGAGAGAAATAAATCAAAGGAAAAGGATGATGAGCAGAAAGCTTAAGATGGAAGAAATATGTTCAAATGTATCAATGATCACAATAAGTACAAATGGACTCAACTCACCTATAAAAGAGATACTATCAAACTGGATTAAAAAAAGAAAGTCCAGCTATATGCTGCTTACAAGAGATATCCTAAAACAGAAACACATAAAAGTTGAAATATAAAAGGATTTTAAAGATGTAAAAGTATTTACTAAAAGAAAGCTAGTGAAACAGTATTATAATTTAAAGTAGGCTTTAAGGCAAAATTCATAAAGATACAACGATGAGAAAATTTCATATATATATTTATATATTTAGAAAAACCATCAGAATTACAAAAAAAGAAATCTGACAAAACCAGTTGTAGTGGAAGATTTTAACACCCTCAGTTTCAGACACTGATAGATCAAGCTGATCAAAAGTTAGGATGCACACACGTACATAGACACACACATACATACATACAAACCAGAGGAATGGCAGGAGAAAAGACTGAAAATGACAAAGCAAAATGAGCAAAATGTAAGTAACCAGCACATTTGGATAAAGGATATGGAAAATATCTTTGTACTACTTTTGTAACCTTTCTGTGTTTAAACGTGTATCAAGTTACTAAGTAAAAAACCCCACACCCAAACAAGTGGCTGAAAATAAATTCACTATTCAAGGTGAGAAGACAGAAAAACAGAAAAAAACTAAGATAAAAGAAAATAACATAAAATTCAGAATTTAGTGATATAGAAAGCAAAACAAGAGAGGTTAATAAAACCAAGATATGGTTCTTACAACTAAAACATAAATTAAAAAAAAATAACATATACAAACCTCTAGTAAGACTGTTCAAGGGGAAAACAAAGTACAAATAAAACATTAACAATGAAGTGGAATGACTACTAAAGACACAATAGGGATACTGGAATATAAGACAAAAACTTGAATAATAAACTGGAAAATCTACATCAAGTAGTAAATTTTAAGACAAATTAATATTTATCAAGATTTCAGAAGAAATGACTAACCAAATAAACCAAGAACACATTGAAACAGTATTCAAAATTCTCCCCTCAAAAACAGCAACAGATTCAAATGTTGTAACACTCTTTACCAACCCTTCAGGAACAAATAATCCAACTTCTACAAAGATTTCTAAGAACAGAAGAAAGAAAGTTACTCAACTAATCTTATGTGCATAGTCTTGCTACTAATATCACCAACACTCAATAATATATTAATCAATTTAGCAGAGTATTTTAAAAGAATTACGTACCAGAGTCAAGTAATTTTGGAATATGTGGGTGATTCAATAAAAAAAAATTGATTAATGTAATTTAAAACACTTATAAGAAAAGATACCTGATCATCATATTATATCTAAGGGGGGAAAAAAAAAAACCCTTACAGTAAGAATTAAAAATATTCATGATATAAAGTTCAAGCAAACTAGGAAGAAGTACTGCTAACCTGATAATGGCTTCCACCAAAAATTTATAGCAAATATAGTATTTACTGATGAAACTTTAAAATCACTTGCATTAAAATCAGAGAAATGATGAAGATGCCTACTATCACCCACATTATTCAAGACTGTTCTGGAGATCTCAGCCAATGAACTAAGACAATAATAATGAGAAGGATAAAAGAAAATTTGGGGGGAAAAAACATGAAATTGTCACTTGCAGAAGATAAAGTTACACCAAAAACATCCCGGAAAATCTACTAACTATGGGAACTCTTAGGAAGATTATTTGCTGTACAGAATGAAAACATACAACAAACTGAGCAATAATCAGTTAGGAAAATAATTTTTTTAAGTTATTTGTAATGAGGGTGCCTGGGTGGCTCAGTTGGTAGAGTGTCCGACTTGGACTCAGGTCATGATCTCACAGCTTTTGAGTTTGAGCCCTGCATTGGGCTCTGTGCTGACAGCTCAGAGCCTGGGGCCTGCTTCAGATTCTGTGTCTCCCTCTCTCTCTGCCCCTCCTCAAAACATGGGCATGCAAGTGCATGCGTGCACACTCTCTCTCAAAAATAAACATTTAAAAAATTGTTTTAAGTTATTTACAATAGCAGCAGAAACAATTAGGAGCTGAGATATATAAATATATATTTTATATATAAGTAGTATGTTTTGTGTATATATATGTATATTATATATGTATACGTGTATTATGTATATAATATATACAGATTACATATATATGCACTATAAAATGTTAAAGACCTAAAGAAGGACCTAAAGTTGGAAAGATCAATCATAGACATAGATGGGAAGAGTCAAAATTCTAAAGATGTCAACTGTGTCTAATTTAAGATTTAGCATAATTCCTATCAAAATTGCAATTGCAAAGAACAAGACAAAGTGGTCTTAAAAGTTTAACAAAATGAATTGCCAAGAATAGATGTGGTTGAAAGAATAAGGTGGACAGACTTATCCTACTTATTATAAAGCTATGATGATTAAGAGCTTGATATTAATGCAAAGACAGACCAAAGGAACTGAACTGAGATCCCTAAGTTAGTCCTGCCTGTCTAGAACAGTCTGGTGTAGGACAAAGGTATCGTTATAAAGAGGACTCTTCATTATCTTATGACAATAGGAAATTCCCGGTTGGGGGGAAAAAATCTCTACTTATTTACAACTAAATTCCAAATGAAACAAAGTTATTTTTTTTAACTATTGAAAAAAAATTTAAGAAAATATCTTATTTGAAACATACAAATACTAAGGAAATTAATAAATTTGAGCACTTTAAGATTCTGAAGTCTAAACTACTAAAGAGATCAGAAACAAAGTGAAAACAAGCCATAGATTGAGAAGATATGTGACTCAAGAAAACAGGAGAATTCAGAATATATTAACAATCCTATAAATTTATTTTTAGAAGTGCCAAAAAAGCCCAACAGAAAAAATGTGCAAAGAATATGAATAATTCAGAGATAAAATGGCCAACAAATCAATGCAAAGTAGTTGAACCTTATTAGTCACAAAGGAAATTCAACTTTAAACTTCAGTAACTTTAGAAACATTAACACAAACTCTCAGACACTGTAGGAATGAGATAAATCAGTGCAACCACTGACAACAGTCCAATAAAGCTGAAGATAAGCAAACTCCATGACCCAGCTTTTCTATTTCCAGATAGATTCCTTTCTAAAGCAGCATTTTTCAATCTGATGGTCTCAATCCTTTAGGGGTTATAAAACCAACAATCTTTAAAATAAAACAGAATAAAAAGCATTAGAGTATATGACACAAAGCTAGTATGTAACAAATAAGGCTAGGTATTATTGATACGGTGTTAAACTAGGTATATATGTATGTAGTATGTATGTATACACGTAAATACTGGGATAGTCTATAAAATATAATTGATGTTATGGAGTTTTAAAGGGACCACCCTAGAAAAACATTCCCACATGTACACAAGGATGTTCACTGTTGTAACAGTTTATAACAGCAAAATATCTGTGAAACATCTGAATCTTCATTGGGAAAAATCAATAAATTGTGGTATATTCATACTATGGAATAATGTGCACCTATTAAAATGAATGAAATAACTGGATCAGCATGGACACATTAAACATACAATGCCAAGTGAAAAAAGTCAAAGTTAAGCATTATCTACACAGAAATATACCATGTGATACCAAAAACGATACAGATCAAGTTCAGATTAGTTGTTACTTGATAGGTGGGAGGAGTAAAAAGGGGGCTTCAACTATATTTGGAACATTTTTATTTTTTGAAATCTGAGACCAACCTGTGGTAATGACTTATCTCCATCAGCATGCATCTTTAATTTCATCAGTGCTACCTTTGCAGCCGTTTCACTATTTTTTGCACCTTTCCGTCGTTTACTTGCTGTCTCTCCTGTCTTAGAATCTAAGAAATAAGTATAAGCATATAAGCACACAGAATTTTTACATTAAAAATTTCCAGAGTTCAATTATTAGTAGTTACGTCTTTGAAATATACAAATAACACATAATACAGCTATATAGAGACTACATTCTTTTTGTTGGTATCATACAGGACCATTATAAAAATATCGAGGTTCACCTAAGCAATCTCTACATCAGAAAACTCACTGTTACATGCTTCCCTTTCCAATTTAGGCCGATTTAATCCAAAACAGTCACTAACACTTCTGCAGAAAACTTTTAAGATATAGTCATAGAAGATTTTAATAAAAGTACTATCCCTAATTCAGAATGAAAATTCTGAACTACTATGTTGTCAGAGAGGCTAGTTTAAGCCACAGATACATTCTTCCTGGCACCTCAGATTATCAGCAGAATTCACAGGACAGCTGATAAGACTTAATGATTAGTCTTTAGAGAAAACCAACCACTGCACTGGCCTGGTGAATACCATTTCCAGCCATGATACTTCACCTGCTGATCTAAGTGGCCCAATAAAAGAACATCTGGTAGGGTACTTCATGAGATTTACAATCTTTCACTGGTCAGCCTTATGAGAGAAACATGGTCACATAAATGCCATCAAAATCTATACCAAGTCACAACCACTGGGGCCATTAAAAACACCTTCCAGGGGTGCCTAGGTGGCTCAGTTGGTTAAGGGTCCAACTTGGGCTCAGGTCATGATCTCACAATTCATGAGTTCAAGCCCCGCGTTGGGTTCTCTGACAAGCTCAGAGCCTGGAGCCTGTTTCAGATTCTGTATCTCTCTCTGCTTCTCCCCTGCTTGCTCTGTATCTTTCTCAAAAATAAACACTTAAAAAAACAAAACAAAACAAAAAACCACTTTCCATAACAGGCAAGCCAACATAAGCAGCAAGACTCTGTAACTAATAGATATACAGCAGTAAGGAAACAACCAAACAAGCTTTCTAGATACTTACCAATGAGGTCTTTAACAAGCTTCTGAGTGGCAGCCATACGAGGCTTAGGAATTTCCAGTTTTTCACATTCATGATCCGACTGATGACGGTGCCTATGAGAAACAGAAAAGTGACACTAGTTCACATATTTGCACGTGACTACAACAGACACGCATAATCTGAAGGGTCTGAGCGATCACCTCAGGCAAAAATTCTTCTCACAATAAGGACATTTAATTGGCACTAGCTCTCTCTCAGCACAGTCCTTGAATGAGCAAGGGTAAGATGTGGGCTTATCTGACTTCAGTCTCTCATTGATTACAGTCACCTGAAAATGGAAAAAGGAGAAAATGGCATTATAGATTTCATATATAAAACAAATCAACATCAACTTTGGAAGGCAACATACATAACATTTTTGCCTACACTTGTTAGAGCAACTTCATTCTCTTGCCTAACAGATTATAATAAACGTTTGTGTGATAAATGATTACTGTGCTGACTGTTCTACATTTTCATAACTTTCTTACTGTGGTGTGTTTATCTTCTAAGTCAAGTTAAAACAACTATTCAGTGACTCTTCATAATGGTAAAGCTCTACTTTGTACCCATCTTAAACATAGATGCCCAGTAATAATATGCTTAGGTGACCATCTTATCAACTCTCAAAGAGCAAGTCACAACTACTTTCTATGCTGACTTTACTTAGTTAAATGTATATATGAAAGAACACTTAAAATTATATTTATGATACAGAAGGTTAAAGACAGTTTCTATGATACATTCTCTATTCTGCATTTATTACTGTATTACCAGCAAATATTACAGAAGGAGATTTTACAAGATTAAAAAAACAAAAAACAAACAAAAACCAAAAAACCAGGTCAGGCTAGTTTGAGTTTTAAATAACCATGTTTTTCAAGTTAAATGAACTTTTGCAGACTCCGTGCTGTCAGCCCAGAGCCTCACATAGGCTGGATCTCACCAACCCTCTGATTAGGAGGCGAGCCGAAATCAAGAGTCAGACGTTCAACCGCCTGAGCCACCCACGTGCCCCAAGAGAAGTTCTTAAAATCTACAAGCAAAGGGCACTCCTCTATATAAGTGGCAGTTATATCTTGTTGGGATTAAGTTTTTTTTTTTTTTTTAATGTTTACTTTGAAAGGAAGAGAGCACACCAGCACGAGTGAGGGAGAGGGACGGGGAGAGAGTGCACGGAAAAGCGTGCAAGAGACACACACACAGAGACACACACACACGCAGACACACACACACACACAGAGACACACACAGAGACACACACAGAGACACACACACAGAGACACACACACACAGAGACACACACACACAGAGACACACACACACAGAGACACACACACAGACACAGAGAGACACACACAGAGACACAGAGAGACACACACAGAGACACAGAGAGACACACAGAGACACAGAGAGACACACAGAGACACAGACACACAGAGACACAGACACACAGAGACACAGAGACACAGACACACAGACACAGAGACACAGAGACACACAGAGACACACACACAGAGACACAGAGAGACACATACACAGACACACACACACACAGACAGACACAGAGAGAGAGAGACAGAGAGAGAGACACAGAGAGAGAGAGACACACAGACACACACACACACACAGAGACAGAGAGACACACACACACA